TGGCACAGGCTCCCTAGATGGGTCACGGAGAGTGATGGTGGTTTGTGGCTCCTTTGGCTTCTTCCTGGTTCCTGTTGTTTTCACTCAGCCCTCCACTGTCCTGGCTGGCTGGCAGGTTGGCATGTGACACAGCCAGTGGAGTCCACGGTCATGGGCCCACTCCGCCACCTCCTGATGTGATGGGATGTTACATGGGACCCTGGGCTGACGAATCACATGCTCTAGAGGCCTCAGAGACCAGTGCTGCCTGAGGCCCTGTGGGTAGGGGCCAAACCTGTGCCTGGAATGTGTCCCTTCTTCCTATCAAGGTGAATCACCCCCCTTTTCAGGATGGAAGGCTTCCGGTGCAGTCAGCTTGCCACTAAGGGGCTGCTTGGTCTCTTGGTGGGCTGGCCTGCTTTGGAGATGGCCCTGATTTGAGCGCGGAGGGCCAGGACTTCCCTGGTTTAGGGCAGGTTCTCCCCTGAGTGCTCAGATGTCTGGGGCTGTTCTGGGCACTGTAGGGCGCTGGGCAGCATCCTTGGCCTCTATCTGCTGGATGCTGATAGCAGCCTCCCAGCTAGGACAACCAGTGATACCCCCAGATGTCTCAAATGTCTTACTGTGTTGGGACCACATAGAGCTGGCAGCCAGGTTAGGGGATGGAGCGGTAGCTCACACTCCAGAGCTCTGTTCTGCCAAAGGGGGCTCAGGGGTGAGAATGTGGCTTGCTGGCTGTGCAGGGACCATGGCCCTCCAGCTGCCCTGCAGGGAGTTTGGGCTCCGCTTGTTTCTGCTATAAGACTGCTGTGTGTCAGGCCCTGGGCCAGACCCCTGGGGCCCGAGGGTGTCTGCCCCCGACGATGCTCGTGATTGTGTCAGCAGAGGCAGGGGCAGAGGGGAGGACACAGAATTTGCTTGGGATGTTTTTGGGGAAGCTTTGTGGGAGAAGTAGTGTGTACCTGGTGAAGGAGTCCATGGAGGTGCCATGTCCAAGGAGGGGTGAGTGCAGACAGAAACTGACCAGTGGGCACCAGGGACCAGGGGCAGCGGGGAAGTGACTGCCAGTGGATATGGGGTTTTTTTTGAGGGTGGTGGAAATGTTCTGGAAAGAGATAGCTATGAACCCAAAGCTTTGTGAAAAACTCTGAAGCCCCAAATGACTTGTCTGCTTTAAACCAGTTAAAATGGTGAATTTGGTGTTATGTGCATTTTACCTCAGTTAAAAAACAGAAATTACCCGTGAGCTGAGCTGAGCCTTAGGCGGGGGCGCAGCAGGATGGCGGGTGGAGGGTGGTGGGGGAACATGTGCCCCAGGCTCCCCTGAGGGAAGGAGGCCCACGGGCACAGCGGAGTGCAGAGGTGGCTCTGCAGCCAGGCTCAGAAGCCACTGCAGTTCCAGCAACGGAATGCTCCAGCAGCTCGTTACGGGCCTTGGCTGGGGGTGACCTGAAGCTGCTGCCCGCCCCTGTCTTGTGCAGCTCTGTTGTGGCTAGAACCTTTGTGTGTCACTGCTCAGTTTTGTCACCCCTAACAGTCTTCTGCTGCCTGGGGTGTCCCTGGTGTGTGGTGCTCCTTTCCCCAGCCTCTCCTGACTGCATGCAGACGGGCTGTTTCTGGAGTTTATCTTGTGCACCCGGCACTTGGTCTGCTTTTTCATTTAACCCTCTTTAGCCTATGAGCTGGGTGTGATTGTCCCGTTGAACCTGTAGATGATAGTGAGGCTTGAGGAGGGGTGACTGGACCACTCCAAGGCTTCTGGCCTCTAGTCTGTGGCCAGCAATGCCGCAGGGAATTTTGTACTGGTGGCCGTCCCCCAAGTCTGCAGGTGGGTTAGGACCTCCTGATCCCGAGGACAGTGCCCCAGTGCCCCAGAGCAGGCACACCTTCCCCCCACCTCGAGCAGAGTTCAGTTGAATTTCAGAGTCACTTACAAGGCAAGTGACATTTGGCACATGCTTTAGGAGCTCGTTGGAGAAATTTCGGGGCACAGCACTTGCGAAATTGATTTTGAAAGTGCTTCATGAAATAAAGGAAGTGTTTCGAAGCTGTCTCTGGGGGGGCAGGGGGGCTGCGGCGGTCTGGGGAGGGTGCCATGCAGGGCTCACCGCCCCTTTGTAATGTCCTCTGCTGCCAGATGCCATCAGGCAGAGCAACCAGATGCTGCGGGAGCGCTGTGAGGAGCTGCAGCGTCTGCAGGGCAGCCAGCGGGAGGAGAAGGAATTCCTCATGCAGAAGTTCCAGGAGGCCAGGAAGCTGGTGGAGAGACTGAGCCTGGAGAAGGTGGACCTGCGCCGGCAGAAGGAGCAGGCCCTGCATGAAGTGGAGCGCCTGAAGCGGTGCCAGCAGGTAGCCGGGGGCCACCAGCTGCCTGCATGCCCAGAACCCGGGTGACCTGTGCTCAGGGGTCCCCAGGGGCTCCCTTGGGCTCTCTGTGTCACCAGGAGGACTCACAGAGTTGAGAAAAGCTGTTCTCGTGGTTCCGGGTGAGACTGGGGAGGACAGGGTGAGACCAGCCAAGATAAAAGGGACGGAGGGCAGGTCCGGGAGACGCCAGGCGCGAGCTCCCGGGCCTCCCACCAGCCAAGTCATGGGACAGTGCCCTTTCTCCCAGCAGCGACAGGTGACAACACACATGGGCTGCTGTCACTAGGGACGCTCCCTGAGCGCTGCTGTCCGGGGATTTGATGGGGGTCGGTCCTGGAGGCCCAGAGCACCTGCCCAGCTGACCTGAGTTCCTGGGTCCCCGCACTCAGGAGGTCAAGCTGAGACATGCGGCCTCAGGCCAGAATCACCAGAAGTCCAAGATCAGGGTGCGGGCAGGGTCAGTTCCTTTTGAGCCACGAGGGCAGGACCTGTGCCAGCCTCTCTCCCCATTGACACATTGCCTTCTTCTTGTGTCTCTGTCTCTCCTCGTCTTCTTATAAAGACACCAGTGTCAGCGA